TAATTCTGGTTTATGTTGTGCTTGCGAATGAGGTGCCACTTTATCGGGCATTACCTCCTTCGCATTTGTCGATGTCTTTGCTAATACCTCCTCCGATTCCTTGTCATTCTTTATAGCATTTATTTCTCGCACAACCTTTTCCACACGCTCGCTCTTCAAGTGCACATTCTCCCGACGGTCTTGTATGGGTTTAACTGGTCTGGTATTTTGAATTGTAGTTTTAATGGATGAAGTGGTCGATACGGTTTTTGATGCAGATGTTGATGTTGATGAAATTGTGGATGCTTTTGTGGATGGGGATGTTGATGGAGTTGTGAATGGAGTTGTGGATGGTGCTGTAATTGGACGTTTTATTGTTTCTGCCGCAGTTACTACGACAGTCGTAGCTGTTCCTGTTGTTGATATCGATGCCTGTGCTGCAAGAGAAGTAGAGGATTTCTTTGGAGGAATACCCGGTAATGGACGCCGTCGAGTTGCTGTTGTTTGCGGTTGAGATTCTGGCTGCTCTGTAGGTTGTGGTTGGGTTCGTCCTTGGTTGGGCTTTATCTCTTGTTTTTGCACTTGCGTGTTGTTTACCAGTGCCTGAACTTTATTCTGTACAGTGCCCGACTCTGCAATTCCCTTTAATTCCTTGTTTTCTAATCTCGATGTTGGTGGTGTGGGTGGAAGAGGACGCGTCTTCTTCTGAGTCGTCTGCTCCGTCTGTCTAGCTTGGGCTTGCTGCTGTATTCTTTGTGCTTGCTGTTGCTGTAATTGTTGGTTTTGTTGCCTCATGACACTTGACATGGGTTCTACGTTATCGACGTTCTTTCCGTATTGTAATTTAGCACTATCGTCTTTTTGAGATGCACGCATTGTCGTGTCATAGACATGCGAATTTCCGGAATTTGAATAACCACCCTTGTACATGTCATTCCCACTTCCACTATTATTTCCATTAACCGCTCTCTCATCATTAAACGACTCTGTGCTTTCTTTCCTTCGTTCTGCAAACGTAGCACGACTAGGCGTTGGTGTACTTCGCGAACTTATCGAATTG